ATAATCTATTTTTCTCTACAAGAGGAAGGTGATGAATTATATTGTAATTTAATTTACAGACCTTTTCATTTCTTATTTCTTGTTTGTATTTTAGTAAGAAGTAAAAGGTATATAGGACATAAATATTTGCCATAATTAAGGACCTTAATATAATCAATTATGATAGGTGATTTTTGTCTAAACATCTCAAACCAAATCTTGAGAACTTCTATTTTGTGTGTTGTGCCCAACAACCTCCTTGGATTAAATAGTTTGTCCTTATATACCCACATCACCATGTGTCAATGATAAAGAGCCTTTGAAAAAGAGAGCCCTCTCTTCATGATGTCCCTTTATTCAAGTCCACGAAGAAATAACCTAATTTCAGATAACAGATCTTTAGTTAAAGAAGATAAAAGACAGAGAAATGATCATGAATATATCATAAACATAAACATCATAAATTTGCTTACATTAGATTGATCAAGAAAAGAAGTAACTCCAATGAGATTTGAATATTATACAGATTTAAAACTCATAATTACCACTGTCTGATCTTTTACATCCCTTTTATCCCAACCTGTTGAGAGAACTTTTGGCCACAAGGAGACATTTCTCGCAGACACAAATGAAGGCCCCTTGGTGCGAAAGAATTCAAAACAAGAGTCATGATAAGCGAAAAAGGCCAATTTGGCTTCTCAATTATAATTCTGCAAAGGCAAAAGGGTAAAAGAAAGTTTCTGCTTTGATCAACTTAGCTCCTGATCTAAATCTCAATTTTTTTTTGTTATTATGATATCTCCGCCGTACCATTTAACTGGAAGCTTTCATTTAACCTTTCTTTGATATGTTTCTCACGTACTACTTAATGAAATGGTCGGTATCTTTTTCGAAAAGAGAAAATAAAATAAAAGATGAAAAGGGCAGATTTGGTTGAGAGCAACGTCATGACAGGGTGGGATTGATGTCATCATAAAACCCACCAAAATGGCCATTCTCTTGTGGCTTGTGGAGGCTAGTGGAGGTGCAGCTATCATCAATCCTTTGAATGCCACTATATATATATATACACACAAAATTAAAAAGCCACACCCAACACTCTCCTAAATCATTAACATGTTTTTAATACCATGTGCTCTTAAGATTTGCCCAAGATACTTGGCTGCTGCCCTGCCCTGCCCTTGTCATAATATTTATATATCACAACCCTCACTTTTCTCTCCCTTTTCAACATTTTTATCTTGGATTTCACATGAAATGTTGAGTAAACTCTCGAACTAATTCATTCAAAGAATAAGGGTGAGATTTTATGGGTTTCACAACAAATCTGAGTGGCCCCAACTAGTTAAAGTCTTTCTCTCTGTATCTTTACGATAATATAATTTTTGTTTATTTAAATGTAGGTGGGTTGAAAGATCACTTGATGTAGTAGCTGAAGTTTGAGTTGTTCGATCAAGTAAGAGAAACTCGATGAAATTCGTAACTGTCTCAAATTTTTTTTTTTTTATAATTGTCTGAATATTATGCTCCTTTTCGCCCGATAATTAGGATAAACACGAAAATTAAATCTTGTATAAAGATGGAGACCCCCAGTACGTCAAAACTCATTGCCATGGATAAAGAAAAACTATTTCAACATTAAAAAACAACAAAAACTAGAGCAAACATAGATTCGAAATTGTACCCAAGCATCATCCATTGGTTCTATTCCCGATTCATAACTCGAAAATTTTTCTGGCTCTTTGTTGAGAGCGCCAACAGGAGTTTAGCTCAACGGTAATTGACATATATCTCTTTGTTAAGAGAGCTTTAGCTCAACGGTAATTGACATCTGATTAAGAGATCATGAGTTCGAATATCCCACCCCACTCGCTCAGAAAAGTGTAGACGGGAAAATCATAATTTTATGTCAATAAAAATATTGAAATTAATATATACTGATCAAAATCTTAAGTGGACTCTTCTTCTTAGAACACGTTATCTATTAATAAAACTTAATTAATCATTGAGATTTATATTGTGGGATAATCGATGTTGATCCTTTTTAGTTGTAAATTTAATGGTTCTCGTATTCAACAAAGATCTAGTGAGCTTCTCTTCGACAGCTGTATGTTACATTAATTGAGCTCTATAATTATTGACAATCCTTAAAGTATGATTTAGTTAATTTTGGATATAGACTCGCATAATTTGGTTTTAGACTATCTTAATTATCTAACAAAACAAGATATATTGTTTGTTTCACCCTACGCCTACACAAAAGCTAATTAAGTCTTATTTCCGCCGAATTAATAATACATACTTTTTGAGTTGAAAAGAAAAGTCCGTAACTTTGAACACATCTCCAAAAGGGCATGATTGATAAACTTCAAATAAGGCAATGTAATTTATAAAATATATGAGTAAAAGAGAATTTTCACAGATAACCATGCAAAAGACGCCCGTGCTTTAGAGTGTTTCAAACTCAAAAGAAAACAAAGTTAAAGTCAGTATATGGAGCTTTGATAATGCTGAGGCAAAGCCAAAATAGACACCAAAAAGAGAGAGGAGAGATGGATTAGCGACACAAGACAAATAGACAATCGTGCTGAATTGTGGAGGCCAGAAATGAAAATGTTTGTACTTTGTTTAGAGTTTGTGTTGTGGTAATTAATCAAACAGGAACAAGAAAAAAAAAAAGGGAAAAACTTTTCATGTAATCTCTGTAGCTCAGAAAAGAGAGAACAAAAATAAGCACTTTTGAATCTTTGATTGGATCAGACAATGCTTAATTAAGACAAAAACTGAGTTCTTTTTTTTCTTTTCTTTTCTCTCTCTCTTTCTATCTCTGAACTATAATGTTGCTGAAAAGGAAAAGAAAGAAAAAATGGTGAATAGGTTTTTAATGATTTTTGCTTTTCTTTTGTAAGCCATGCTCTGCTAACGTAGCTGTGTTATTTACCAGAACTTGCCGGCCAGCAAAGACCCTCCACGCCTCTTTTTTTTTTCTTTGCTTTCTTGTTTTTGGCGCAAGGACTGCAGGGAGAGAGAATTAGTTGAGGCAAAATACCTCAAATAGGTCCAACCAAGTAGGAAAGGCAAAAAATGTTAGGCGTAGAAGCTAGAGTTTTCATATCTTGCGAATAGCATTCGGCTAATAGTGATTTTATACAGTGAATTTGTGAGGGAAAGCTTTGAGAATCGTACCATCCTTTCAAAAAAGTGACTGGAAACATCTATTATTATTCCCCTACAACTTGCTGCTGCCCTTTAGGAACTTTTAGGTAACAACATATATCTCTTAATTAACAACCCTACGACTCATGCCACTCCCTTATTAATCTCGATTGTATATCTCGATCTTTTGCAAACAATGTCCCACGTCAATCATGAAGACGGTTCAGTAAAAAAAATGGACAATATCATACTATTTATCAAAGGGATGCCTATGATTTAGTGCTATGGATTTTGTGTTCTATGAAACATTTGGTTGGAAAAAACAACAGTACCTATTCGGAGGTCTCTAGATCAGCGATTCAATTTTGGTAAGATATCAAAATAGACGCCTAAATCCCATCTTTTTTGTAATTACGATGTCTCTACCATTTCTCTTAATTGGAGTGCTTTCACGTAGCTTCTTCTTTTTCACCTACTTTTGTAATGAAATTGTCTCTTTCCTATATATATATCATACTGTTATAGAAACAATACCCAATTTCACCCATCAAAGAGAAAATGGTGTCTGGTTTGTAACTTTGATTAGAAGGCATTCAAAAGAAAGAGTAGAGTAAAGGAGTATTTTTTTTCTACTTCTTCCCTGTTGGCCTTGATGAAGAAGGGTTGGTACATGATGGGGTGTCCAAAAAGTGATCTAATTTTGATATATATTGACATGGGAAGTGGGAACCCATTCACATTTCAAAATGAGCAGTGAGGATCAAGATAAACCCACATGATTAATGCACAAAGCTGATAGCTGAACCCAAGAAATTACTTTTGTGTTTTGTGAGAGAGAGAGAGAAAGAGGATTGTGGAGTGTGTTCCAAGACACAATGATTACATATGGTGTTAAGGAAAAAGGCAGAAAGGGCTGGCGTGGACATGGCCAAGAGTATGGAACCAACAATGCCCAAAACAAATTATAAAAACAAAAACAAAAACAAAAAAAAGGGCAAGGAAATGAGGAAAGTTTTAAAGAAAAATGTTTTGGCGAAAGCCAAGCTTTTTACTATAATGATCTTCTCGGCCCCTTTTTTGTCCTTGCTCGGTCGACAAAGCTATGTTTTGTATCTTCACTCTTTTCTTTGAACCTTTGTGTTCGTGTTTTCCCCATTATTCTCTCTCACTACTCACCACACAACGCAATTATATATGTTACACACATTAAAACTTAATTAAACTAGCTACCCACCAACTAAGAATAACCCTTTTATGTCATACTTAATTATGAGATTTCTTTCTTTTTGTCATATGTATATAACCAATACTTGTCATCACACGTTGCCATCATGAGCATAGTGTTAGGGATAACGGTATCCCGAGTAAGAGTATCTCCACAATGGTATTATGATATTGTCCGCTTTAGGTGTAGTCCTCAAACAACGGTATCTCGAGTATCTCCACAATAGTATGATATTATCCGCTTTAGACATATCTCTCACGACTTTCCTTTTGATTTCACCCAAAAGGTCTCATACCAATGAAGATAATTGTCTTCTCTCATGATCATTCTCTATCCTAACCAATAATGTGGAGCTTAATTTGTTTGCAATCACCTTACAAACCCAACATGTTGTTCAATAGTAATTCGCATATACTACTTCATTCGAAGTCGGAAACTCTTTAGTTATAGTGCATAGGTTATCTATATCATTGAATATAATATATCGGTAGATTTCACTGAGATTTTTAGACCATTAAAAATATACTACATCAAAAAGTCAGTTGGATGCGTAGGCGAGTATTTATATCTTTAATAATTATAATATAAAAGGTCTCATCATCTCAGTCTGGAGAAAAGGTATAGGGGGGATGGACAAAGAATAATGGCGTAAGAAGAAAGGAAAGGTGGTGAGCTATAGAGAGCTCTATATATTGGAGTGGTAGTGGGGAGAGATTGCAGAGAGATGGATGACTACTGAGAAAAAAGATCAGAAGACAAAGGAAAACCAAAAAGACACAAAAGGCAAAGCTCAGGCTGAAGGCAAATGGATTGAAAAAGCACAAAGCACAGATTTTTTATCAAGAATTCACAGCGAGAGAGATCAGAGAGATGAAGATTAAGACTGATCAAATTCCAAACATGTATCCATTTTTTTGATCCTCTAGCTTGTTCATAAAAAAGAAACTTTTTTTTTCTTTCTTTTGAGTGATATGCGTGGGGAGGATCAAGAAGAGGAACATCAACAGCAGCATCAGCAAGGAGAGTGCTCACAAACAATAGAGAATATGTTTCAAGAACAGCTTCTTCTCCAACATCAGCTCCAAAACAATACCAACGATAATATTATATATGGAGATCATCATCAGCATCATCTTCATCATGGAGTACTTGGAGGTGGTGGAAGAGGGTTGATTTTCCCGGCAGAAGTAATCTCGCCGGTTCTCCACCCGCCGTGGCCGCCGCTCCCGGTCCGACAGCACAACCCATTTCTGGTCCCTGCTCCTCTTCCTCCTCCTCGCCCATCATCCGCGGGATATTCGAACTTAAACTAACAGCACATACCGATCCAGGAAAAATATAAAATAACGACTAACTAAGCTTCAACCATAAATTCGACAAATAAGTGAATTTTTTCTCTCTTTCTCATTTATTAGTTGAATTTATTGTCGAAGTTTAGTTAGTTGTTATTCTATATTTTTCTGGATTTTGGTGCGCTGTTAGTTTAAGTATGAATACTCGGCATCATCTTCATCATTTGGTAGTTTGTTTAACCGGAGACGTATTAATTGTGTGCAGTTTGGTTACGACGGTCCATCGGCGGCGGACCACCTGGGGCGGATCATATCGAGCACGCTTGGACCGGTGGGTTCGGGAGCTCCGTTTGGGCTACAAGCGGAGCTTGGGAAGATGAGTGCTCAAGAAATTATGGATGCTAAAGCTCTTGCAGCTTCTAAAAGCCATAGTGAAGCTGAGCGGAGAAGAAGAGAAAGAATCAATAACCATCTGGCTAAGCTCCGTAGTTTGCTTCCAAGTACCACTAAAGTAAGCACCTTTTTCTTCTCTATTAAATTCCCATATTTCATATAACCATTTATTCATGGGCTTTCACTCTTTGGAACAACACCATGCTCTCCATTCTTTTATCTTATTGACTCTCACATACCCTTTGGATCTAAGTTACAATCTTTGAATCATATACAAATACAAATTCCTTGCATAATATATCCAAATCTTAGAAATTTCTAAGATTTCATTTTCAACTTTTGGGTCTATACCTGGTTTCACCCAAAAAGATGAAAATGTTATCCTAGTGAATAATGTTTCCTAGTCACCACTAAAAATTTGTCGGCTATTTACTTTCTTCAATTCTCTTTCTCCATTTCTCTCTCCTACCTGTCAAAATTTTAATAGTCGACAAAAAAAGGTATTTTTCTATATCCGCCTAGTTCATAGTTTAAAGCTGAGAGGGATATTGTTAGAATTACTCATAGTTCTTACAACTTCGTGGAAGAATATCAAAGGAAATGTTTTGTTTTTGTCTTGAAACATCTTGTAGTTAGGAAGGATGGAGGGGGAAGAAGAAGAGGAAAGGAGAAAAGGAAAATAACCGTTAATGTCGCTGGATTGATATGATAAAGAGGAAACAAAGTTGCAGATGGAAAGGCTTTTCGGTTGGGAAATTTGTTGCCGGATGTCGGTCAAAAAAAAACTACGTTAGAGAAATCAAAAGAAATAAAGACAGACAAATTCAGCATTCTTGTCAGTCACCCCCCCTTAGACTAGAGACACCCTTCTCAACTCAGCCCCACTACCAATGAACCTAAACCCAAAACACATCCCCCACTACTAACTAATTACCCAATGCCCCAAAACTTAGAATTTTCTTGGTGGATTATTTTGTACTCCCTTAGTAATAAACAATGTTTCAAAAAAAAAAATTAAAACTTGAATGAAAGAATAAGAAATTATTTGAAATGTATAAGAAGTAGTTAAAATATGGAGATAAATTTTCAACTTTAACATCTAACCCTTATTAAGATAGTTACTTTTAAGAGTCTATTCAAGGGAGCCCTCTAACAATTGAAAGATGATAAGGAATCTTAGAAAAGATCGATTGAGACTTCTTCATCACTACGTGTTTGTCCAGTCTAGGACAGCAAAGATCTTCCAATCTACGTGCGTGCGAAGAGTCTGGTCTGAATTTAGGTCTAGTTTGCCCGTCTGTTACTAGGTTCGGGAATGGTGCCAGGCGGGGCGCTGCCATGCCCAACAGCTCTACTACTACGACCTTCACTTGATTTGGATGGTTGGCAAAGATCTCATGAGACGCAAACGACCATATTAACTTACATGTCTATCCCAAAACTTTCTTACTTTTAGCGGTTCATAAATATTAGTGAGATTGAGATTCATTTACATATGATTTTATGTCTCATTTGTTATGTTGTTTTTGTTTTTTGTTTTTTTATACCCAATTTAAGCCTAATGGTAGTAGTAGTAGAATAGGGTAAGCTATATATGTTGATAAAAGCAAAAGTAAAAGGAGATGAAGTTAATTAAAAAGGAAGGCATTGGGGGGATGGTGAGGTTTTTTTTTTGTTCACGTACAGACGGACAAAGCTTCATTACTAGCAGAAGTAATACAGCACGTGAAGGAGCTAAAGCGCCAAACGTGTGCAATAGCGGAAACAAGCCCAATTCCCAGCGAAGCCGACGAGCTAACTGTCGACGACGCCTCCGATGAGAGCGGTGGCGGCAAGTTCGTAATAAAGGCCTCTCTTTGCTGCGACGACCGCTCCGACCTCCTCCCCGACCTCATCAAAACACTCAAATCTCTGCGTTTACGGACGCTAAAAGCTGAGATCACCACCCTCGGCGGTCGCGTTAGAAATGTCTTGTTCGTCACCAGAGACGACGAGGACAGCAGCAGCAACAATAGCATAAGCTCTATTCAAGAAGCACTCAAGGCTGTCATGGAGAAGCCCGGAGGAGGGGATGATTCTTCTTCCGGGAATATTAAAAGACAAAGGACAAATAACAACATCAATATCCTTTAATTTCATTACTTATTTATGACTACTACTTTTGAGTTATGATCATTCCCATTTGATTTGTTTTGTTTTGTTTTCTTTACTCTTTTTGTGGGTTTTTGTTTGCTTTTTATTGGGGGATCTTTTTCGTGGGGAGAGAAACATGAGATGCGAGCCAAAAACA